AACTCGTATAAAAGCAAGTCTAAACCTAATTTGGAGGACATTAACATACACTGAAGGAGAATTCACGTGGGTGAACACACACCACTCTTGGAGGAGGCTTCTAACTAGTTTTTCTTCTTTTAGTTTCATAGTTTATTAGTTCTAGAGTTTTGGGTGCTACATGAACGTTGTAGTTTGAAGCTTGAATTGTTCTTATTATTTTATCGTATTGATTTATTTATTCTATCTTGCACTTATTTATTTGATTGCCTGATCACCAATTGAATACTATCTGCGAATCTAGGATTGAACTAGGGAGAGGGAGATTGCATATAACATTGAGTAGAGCGAGATCTTGAACCTGAGTATCGGGAACGGATTTGCGATTAAGATATAGATATATCTAATCGCTTTGTTTAGTTACTATATAGGAATTATTAATGCGTTCTCGTTAATCCTAATTCCATAGGAATATAGGCGTTTGGTTAGCTTGAATAGACGAGTAGTACTTCGGGAAAAGGCTACGAGTAATATTAACCATGTCGATCAATAAACTAGATAAATTAATTAGACAATTTAAGTGGAAGACTCAACGGGATTGTTAGCTAACCCATAGCTCTAGAATATTTTCTCTCATTGAATTCGTCTCTAATATTCGCCAAATTGTTTCCTTCAATCTCTTAGTTTGCTACTCTAGAATAGTTGTAGTTAAATATTCATACTTTAGGATTCACTTGAATAGATTAATTATTTGGATTTAATTTAGTTGATAGTTAATCACAAATTCTTGTGGGTACGATATCTGGATTTACAATCCTATATTACTTGTCGACCACGTATACTTGCGTGTGCGTTTGGAAGCAACAATGTAATGCAAAATAAGCCCCATCGGTGATACCATTACACCAACAGTGTCCTATAATCTAACACGTTAACAATGCTCATTTACAAATTCTCTTAAGAAAACACTAATGATCTTTTGCATTTCTAATAGCAAAAATAAGATCTTCAGTTGGATTGTACACTGTTGTGATAGAAATTACAGCATGGATTTAGCAAAAAATGACAGAAAGCACTTCGCAGAATGCATTTCACCAATAGGGACAAATATAAAAAAGAACAAATCTTTAGCCACCATCACAATTTCATTTTTCTTGAATATGTTCTTGATGTTGTTTCTTATTCCTTGGCTCTCCCTTCCCATGTTCTGTCTGCGTAAATGTGCCCTTTTCTTTTTGTACGTGTTTGGGAAGGTGAGAGAAAGGTTATTGTGTACAAGGGATGCACCACTTGCTTTTATCACTGTGCTTATCTGGTCCGGAACTCATTCCTGAATCTAGTTAGATTGTTGGAGAACTTATCCCTGTTCTTCTGATCCAAGCTTCGAGTTATATCAGCCATAAGTTTGTCAAAGCACAGTGAAAGACGCTGTTGTTGGTCTGTTGGCTGCAGATGAAAATGGATAAATAGGAGCTGTCAGCACAAGGAAGTAGATCATTAGTCCACGAAGATGTGCATTGATACAACCAATCCACCTTTTTCGTCTTATGGTAAAAAAAATGATTGTTGGATTACGAACAATGATACCAAATAGACCAACATTATAGCAATAGACAAAATAAATTATCCCTAACTAACAAGTTTCTCATACCTGTGAAGACAAAATCTGAGCTCTTAAGTTTGAGAACATCTGCAAGATGCGAATGAATCATAATCATAATCATATCAGGAATAGAGTAATAAACAATCATTCCTCTCCACTATAAAGCATATTCTAATATCTAAATGATTCTATTTGCTACAATGTAATGCATTCATTAAATGATTTCTTCCTATAAACCTGTGATGCAGGTGGATTAACAAAGAATATATCATAACGGAACTCCATGGATTAAACCATGACAACCTTTTAGAAAGAAGCAATGGACTAGGCAAAGGGAAAACATCAAGCTCAGTGGATACAACAACTATTTCCGACATCTAATTAGTAGAAGCGTTTAGAACAACACAAACACATCTCAACTGTAAACGCAAGATTAAGTCTGCTGATTCAATCATCCATAATGTGATATAGTTATGATTTGCTTTTGTTACTACCATAATTTAATGAAATTCAGAATGTGGAACTGGTGATTTAACTTGCTCACAGAACCCAATACTGCGTCTTTTGTGAAAACACAGGCACAGACATATGTATGTGTGTATCATAGTCACATTTGCATCTTGCAGTTTTCGAAATAATAAGTAGGACGGAATCTAAATGCTACAAAAATCAGTGTCACCTCTTCGCTGATGAGTATCATACTCAGCATCGGTCTACTTAGGCTCCACTGGTTGCCACAATCTTCAAACAGAACAATCTCAAAGAGAGTCTTCATTATCTATCAGGGAAAATGATCACGTTGGCATAACAAATGAATCAGTTCCATATCACAAGAACTTTTTTTCTTTGATAAGGTAAAGTAAATTTCGTTAAAATCAATACCAAGAAGGTACTATAAAGGGTAGAAGAAGAAGGGAATTACAAATTTTGACTATGACCCCATGCTGTCTAAAAAATGAAAAAAAAAAAAATGTGACATGCTATCAAACATATGACCCCTTACACCAAAAGTATATATTTTGTAAATTAAACACCTATGCTTTACAATAGAAATGTTATTTGTCTTTCTCTCAAGCATCTCTTGTTTCTCTCAAAGCCAAACAGTCCACTGCATAATGGAGCAGTCTTCCACAATGTCTTCGATCTTTTGCTTATCTTCTGACCCTGCCAGCACAGTAATAGGCTCCTTATATCCCCTGGCATGACCCAGCTAACTCCAAAGAGATTTAAAACAATGAGCAGATTAGCCATACTTTACAGGAATAACTGTCTGCTGCTCTCCTGAGAACTTTCGCAGAAGAAGCATCTACTGCATAAGGGCAATCCTATTCTTTGAAGATTATCCTGAGTCAAACAAGTATTCCTAGTTGAAACTCAAGTAAAACAACCACTCTGGGAGGTACTCTTGATTTCCAAATAAGTTTCCAAGGCCAATCAGCATTCCAGCAACCATTTTATTTTTTAAACAGATTACATTAGCTCTTAACAGCAAAGTCTCCCCTTTTACTGGACAAGTCAGATCAGTGACTCATTTTTCTCATCATTTAAAGATACAGACTGTACAGCCTCTAGTAGAAGACCAAACTCATCAATCTCCAAATCATTGAGATTTCTTCTAAGTTGCAGATGCATCTAGCTTCAGAGAAACAGTCAGCCACCAAACTTTTATTTACAGCCAAACTAACATAAAGTATGAATTTTTGCGCACACTCTAATGTCCATCTAATGATCCAACCAATATTTTACATGTTTACCGTTTCCCACATTCAATCTAGTATATAGTTGGAAGTCACTCCAATAACTACAGATATGCTTCCAGATAGTTATTTGTTATGCGTAGGTGTAGATTAGGAGTCCAATGATCTACAATCCCATATTTGGTGAAAAATAACATCTTTCTATAATCCTGCTTTACCATCATTAAATCTCCAGAGCCATTTGATAAGTACACTCCCAAACTTTTATTTTGAAACTTGAGATTCTTCACTTCCATGCCACCACTTTCTTTATGAATCATCACCTGTTGCCATTGATAGATGCTTCATTTTCTGTGTAGCACTACCTTGCCAGAGGAAATTATTTCTCAGCTTATTTAATCTTTTCTGCACAGTAGAACAGAATAGGATAAGGCCTCAAATATGTAGGCATGGTATCCAACACAACATTCAACAAAGTGAGTCTCCCACCAAACCTTTATTTGAAGCTTGAGATTCTTCACTCCTGTGCCACCACCTTCTCTATTTATCATCACAAGTTGCACATGACTAGACATATCTTTCTTGTGTAGCATTATCTTGTCAGGGGAATTATCCCTCAGCTGATCTAATATTTCTCCACAGTAGAAGGGATGGGGATAAGGGGCATCAAATAGGTAGGTATGTCATCCAACATACCATTCACCAAAATGAATCTCCCACCAAAGGGTAAATATAGTTTTTTCCATGCAGAGAATTTTCTCATATCTGCCAAGAACTCCCAGCCAAATCCCTTTGGCCTTCAATTTAGCAGCAAGAGGAAGACCCAAATAAGTAGCAGGGTAAGCTTCTATTTTGATCCGAGTATATCAGAGAGCTCCAGAAGAATACTTTCTGCATTTAGAGCGAAAATGCTACTTTTGGCCAGATTAGTTTTAAGACCAGACAATGCTTAAAATGTCAATATGATGATTCTAAGATGAAATACTTGGCGTTAGAAAATGAAATCATTAGCATAAAATTTGTCCGACCAAGTATTTCATATATGTCAGATATCCAGTTTTTTTTCTCACTTTTTACCATCAATCTGGAAACCCTCAAGCCATCTAAGACTTTTAGCCCTCTTTAGCAAAAGACTTGGTGCTTCCATCACCTTGACAAAGAGATGAGGTGAAAGTGGACCACCTTGTCTTAAGCCTCTCTGCAGCTTAAAGAAACCTTCAGGATCCCCATTAATAAGAATAGCAAACCTGATAGTAGATATACATGTATGTATCCACTGGATCAATTTGTCCCCGGACCCCATTAACTTTATTATATGAAGCAAAAATGACCATTTCACATGGTCATATGCTTTTCCTAAATCCAATCTACAGGTTACCCCATGCCTGTCTATCTGCAAATACTGGTCCGAGCATTCATTAGCAACATAGCAGCATCAATGTTTTGCCTGTCTTTTATAAAGGCAATCTGATTCACAAAGATTTGTTAATCACCATCTTCGAGTAGTCAGTAAGGACCTTAGTAAACACTTCCAAGCATGCTGATGGGCCTATAATCTTTTATTTCCATAGAAATTTTCTTTTGGTGTAAGCGCTATGAATGTGGCATTAAAACTCCTTAAAAAGTGTCTTCTTTGTAAAAAAAAATCAAATTTTTTTATTATATCATTTTCATAGTAGGCCAACATTTCTGAAAGGATATACTGAATCCATCAGGTCCAAAAGCTTTCTCCCCTACAAACTGTTGTCACTGATTCCACTTCCTCAGCAATAAACTGTCTTTGCAGGCAATAAACTGTCTCTCATCATCGGGAAGAACAACCAACATGTTATCTTCCTATACACTTCTCCATTTTTCATTCTCTATCAACAGCTTCTCATAAGAGCCCAAAATGTGATTCTTAATCAACTTTTTGTCTCCTACCGGCTTGCCATGAATGTTATTAAAAGCCATTGCTTCGTCACCTAAAGTGATGAAGTGATAGGTTATCGCTTCACCGGTGAAGCCATACCTATCACTTCACAGGCAGGAGCAAATTTATGGGGGAGATTATGGGGCACTAGAACTCATGGTCTCTCTGCAAAATTAGATATTTTATGTGCATATTTTCTAAAATTGGTATAATATTAACTGTTGGACCCATGCTCCAAGAATGCTGAATGGTACACTTGGTTGAAGGTTGAGTTATTTACCAAGAGGAATAGGGATCAATTCTCACTTAATACATTTTTTCTCCTTTTTTTAGCAGTGCACCCATATATTAGAAATCCTAAATCCGCCTCTGTTCACAGGTGAAGTCATGTGCGTCAAAGGAGTGTGCAGTCCAAAAAATCACACAATGTCATCCCACAGAGAAGTAGTTGATTCTTTGAATCTCAACTTTGAGGAGTTTGATCAATATCTGCATTATTTATTGTCCCAGGGCGAGTGGGGCATGGTACGAAACTCGATGGATAATGGGCCCCCCTCTACTCTCCTTCATTTAAATACTCAACTTTTGTCCATGGCAAGGTTAAAAACTGTGACATGCACCCAGACATCATGTGTTGTGCTCATACCACTTGACCGAAGTTCTCGGGGTAGAAAAATATCTGCACTACTGCATATTAGATGCTGAAATTAATTGTTTCTTGTAACGACCCGGCCGGTTGTTTTGTGTATTTGAGCCTCGTAAACCTATTTGATGATTCTCGTATGCTTGTTTGTTGTTTTTTGACTTGCGGGGATGGTTGGTTTGGTTTCTGGAAGGTTTTGGAATGAATTGGAACACTAGTTCCATGGTTAGAAGCTTAAGTTGTAAAAGTTGACCAAGGTTTGAGTTTGAGTAAACGACTTCGGATTCGTGTTTTGATGGTTCGATAGGTTTGTGTGGTGATTTTTTACTTAGGCGTATGTCCGGATTTGGATTGGAGGTTCCTAGGTTGATTTGGCTCTAATTGGCAAAAGTTGAAAATTTAAAGGTTTGAAAAGTTTATAAGTTTGACCGAGAGTTGATTTTGAGGTTATCGGGTTCAGATTGTCGTTCCGGGAATTGGAATAGGTCTATTTTGTCATTTGAAACTTTTGTGCAAAGTTTGGTGGCATTTCGAGTTGGTTTGATAGGAATCAGATGTTTGGTTGGAAGTTTAGAAGCTTATGAACGTAAGAGAAGTTCAATTGATGTTTGATCGTCGATTTGTAGATGTGGTGATCTTGCATGTGTTTGGAGACTTCGGATAGGTCCGGGTAGTGTTTACGGACTTATTGGTATGATTGGACGTGGTCTTTGGTGGCTCGGGTGAGTTTCAGACCACCCGGAGCTTGGTTGAATTGCAGATTTTCTGTTGGTGTATGGTGTGCTTCGCGATCGCGGAGGCTTATTTGGGGCAACTGTGGTATTTGTTCTCCACGTTCGCGAATAGGGTGTCGTGTTCGCGAAGGGGTGGGGTCGTTGGTCTTCGCGTTCGCAGGTAAAGGGCTCGCTTTCGCGCAGAGGAGAAGGCTAGCTAGGACTGGGGTTAGCCTTCGCGTTCCCAAAGTTTGGGACGTGTTCGTGTAAGCTTAAGTTGCTCGTGTATCGCGCTCGCAGGTGGTTGACCGCGTTCGCGAAGAGTCTTTTTGGGCAGAGGCTAAGTTGTGCTTCGCGAACACGAGGCTTGGGCCGCGTTCGTGAAGGGTATCACTGGGCAGACTTATAAGTGATGTAATTTCAGGACTTAGACCCATTATTTCATATTTTTAGCCGTAGACTTGGAGATAGGCAATATTTGAAGAGGATTTTCACACAAGGCAAGAGGGTAAGTGATTTCTATCTGATTTTAACATTATATCTTGTTTCTCCATGGATTATTACACAGATTATGGGATTCGAAAGAGAAACTTTTGGGGGTTTTGGCTATGATTTTGGAGAGTGAAAAATGGAGATTTGAACCCCCATTCGGAGTCGGATTTGGATGAAACTTGTAATTTGGACTTGTATTCGAATGGGTAGTCGGAATTTGTGACTTTGGTCGGGTTCGAAAAGCGGGCCCGAGTTGACTTTTTGGTTGACTTCGTTTTATTTATTAAAGATCGAGCCTTTATGCTCCGATGTTGTTTCCTT